TTTACTGATAATTTACAAGGTAATTTATAGAGAATTTATTGAAAGCTTAACGAGTAATTTATTGAGAATTTAAGACTCCCAGAAACTCAAGGATCCAATCAACATCCTAGAAATTAAATCCTATACCCACATAGTCACATAAGCATGTTATCAAGTAAGCACATAGCATGTGATACTACATCTAAGTTTCTATCAAGCGAGACAAACCCATTGTGATCCTAATCACTTCCCACGTACCCAAAGTATTCGAACCCGGTACGCTCTGATACCAAGTTGTAACGCCCTCAAAATAATAACATTAAACCCATCAGATAAGACATGCATTTACATTTAAACTAACTGCATTCCTTTCATTCATTAGAATTCCAAGACATAAGTATTACATGTTTAACCTCATAACAAAATGCCCTATTCATGGGCATGACGACAAACGGAAAAGGAAGCCTATAGTCGGCGACCTCTGTATCACATCCTCTAACACCCTGTTTCAGGATCAACTCACCACCCAAAGGCGATACCACACAAATAGGAGATGCTAACTGTGCTAACTCCAATTCCAAAACAGATGCAAATGCAGCAGATACAAAAGAATGAGATGCACCCGTGTCTATCAACACATTAGCAACTGAGTTGCAAAACAGAAAAGTACCTCTCACTACTGATCTTAGTACCTCCCGGATGCACCGCAAGGCGCGAATGATGAAACTCTCGGAGTACTTCCTCTCGGCAAGACTCCGGCACAAACAAACGGTCTCGGTATCTCACACTCAGGTCGGGATACACCGTCAAACCCTTCTCAACTTTTCCACTGGAGATCTTCTCTCGGAGGGCTTCTACCTCAAGGTCACCTCTCTGTGCCTCTAACACTCTAGTCACAAGTGTAAGCTGCGCAACAACAGAAAACAAGGCCGCAGCCTCAACAGATTCGCCCAGTAGCAAATCAAACTCGCTAAGTGCTCCCAACATCTCCCATTCCCGGATGGCTATACAGGCTACATCACTAATGGACTTCTTACTAAGGGCATCGACCACAACGTTGGCCTTTCCTGGATGATAATGCAACTCAAAATCATAATCCTCGATGAACTCCATCCATCTCATCTGTCTCAGATTCAAGTCTCTCTGTGTAAACAGATACTTCAAACTCTTATGGTCCGAGAACACCTCGAACTTCTCACCATAAAGGTAGTGCCTCTAGATTTTCAAGCCAAAGATCACAGCCGCTAATTCTAGGTCGTGTGTAGGGTAATTATTCTCGTGTATTTTCAACTGACGTGAGCCAAAAGCTACCACTTTCCCTCTTGCATCAACACACAACCCAAACCCTCTCGTGAGGCATCACAATAGACTGCATAACCCAACCCTCTCTCCGGAATAATCAACACCGGAGCGATGGTCAATCTAACTTTCAGCTCTTGAAATGACTTTTCACAAGTCTCATTCCACGCAAACTTACTCCCTTCCCAGTGAGGTTTACACAAATTTACGTGTGTAAGTGGCGTGTAGAGATTTGATGAAATATTTTGTAAAATATTTGGGCTCCAGCATAACTCTTAAATTAATTAATTTTCATTAAGGTGCCTTGAGCTAATGGAAATAGAATTTCCCGCGACTCTGATCTCCCTCCCGAGGTGGAGAAAAACACAGCAGATTGCTTACAAGCGACCACAGACAGAGAAGAGAACAATGTCTTCTTCATTAACTTGCACAAAACTGACGGTGTGGACAGTAATTGGAATTCTCATACAAATAATCGGTCTCTCACTCTTCGTTCTAGGGTTCTTCCCCGTCAAACCTGCTCTCTCCGGCGTCAGGTTTCCACTTTCCATTACTCCCCCCTGTTTGCTTCCCCAGAAAACAAAAATGAAAAATTGGAGCTTCCTTTTCTCATTTTCCACCATTTTCAAGGAGCATTTTAATGCTTTGTTTTCTTTCTTTCAATTTGATTAATTTATTTTTTGATTTTGTTAGTGGTTTGGAGAGTTTTCGTCCACCGGGTTTTGACTCTGTTGAAGATCACAATGTGTCAAACCTGCGTCCTGATCAGCTTAAATCATTGTATCAGGTTGGTTTTTTCGTCTTAATGGTTGAAATTTTAGGTTTTGTTTTAAGAATTGGGTCGTACTGTTTTGGCCGATTGGAATTTTGTTAGTTTAGGATGTATTTAAGTTACTATTTCGTAAATTTTTATTGTAAGTATTATAATTTATCGTGAGCATATATGATTTTAAAAATATTGGATTTAGAGGATGAGTTTCAGATTATTATGGCTTCAGATAATGGATCTATTGAAGTTATATTGTTGGTTTTTATCTGAGCTAGAACAGTATGTTGCTTCTATCTGAGTGGATATTATGGAGTTCATGCCTAATAATTATGGAAAGGTGCTGGAGAGCGTAGGGATGAGGAGAACAAGAGGTGGTAATAAAAGGATACTGTATGACTTTCATACTGAAATATTTTGGCCAAAAACTTTTATGTCATTGGGATGATGTATTTGATTGGCTGGAGGCTGGAGCAAGGAGGCCATTATTTTTTGATGGGTTAACTGAAGGTAGCAAAAATCTTGATGGCAACTTGGCAACAGCTTGTTGACTTCGACAATGTTTTCTAATAGCTTTTAACTCCTCGAAGAGTTTATTGAAGGTCACTTATCAAAAAAAGGGTTTACTTTAGGTTGTTGACGGTGTTGTTGTTGGTTCTCCTTCGTTATTAGATGTGGAATAGAGAGTTTTATAACAAACATCTTTCCAATATTCTTTAGCAATGATTGTGTATGACTTTCATCTCCTTGAATTTCAAAATGAAAGAGTAAAAGTAAAAGCTGTTGCTTTGGGTGAAGGGGTCTGAGTTTGGGGCCACTGCCATAAGTTAGGTCTCTACCCTCTGCATCCCTCCCAGCACCTTGTATGTTAGGACCAATGCTGGGTTTGTGTTAGTGTGTGTGTTCTCTTTTTGGTTTTTGTTGATAAGAATGCATTTGTTCTTTTTTCCTTGTTGAAGTTAAAATAAGCTGATGTTTAAGATATCCCTGAAGAGTTTACATTTGATGACAAATCTCTGTTATCAAAGATAAACAACTGCTAGTTAATGATGAAATTGAAGTTTAGAAGAAAAAGTTTCATATCATGATAACAACTGTGAGGAATATATTTTAAATTAATTGTAGGCGATGTATTGTCTTGTGAATGCATTGAGTCTCCTCTGAATTCCATCTTCAGAGACAGATCAAGGACTGATCAGTTTTACAAATTCTATATATATACATGTCCTATATATAAATGCATGATTTGTATAGTTGTATATTGATTAAACGTTCCATAGATCACAAAAGTGGAGATTTTTGGATTGATTTTTTTTTTTTTTTTTTATTGAATTTGGTGTGAATAGATTGTTTTTTGCCAAAGAAATTTATTCATAAAGTGAAGACAGTGGGTCTAGCGGCCCAATATCAGATTGATGAGAGTGTAAACACTAGGATGGAAAACAAAATTCCCACACTTGAGCCTCATCAATTGATAAGATGGATATGTTCGTATGTCCGACGGTATTTGTCAACAGAGACTTTATGATGAATTTGATTTGGAACGATCATAGAATATTGAGAATTTAGAAAGAGAAAAAGAATAGAAATATATATATATATATATATATGAGTTTTACTGACTTTAGGTCTAGTCTAACATATTCTAATTCTCAGAAGATTTATAGTAACTTACCCTGTTGCTTTAGCTTCTAACGTGTACTGGTCTTCAGTTTAATTCTGGTGTTTGTAATGCAGGAGCTCTATGAGATCCCCCCTTCATTTGACCGATTAATCTTGATGGTACGTTGTTTGTTTGTTCGTTTTTTTCGGACACGTGGCCTTCGGCACGAGTTAAGGTTTCCTAAATTTCCCAAAAATAAAGGGTGTGTTTGGTTTGTGTTTGTAGAGTAGTTTTTTAGATAAAAAGTACAAAAACTTGTTTGGTTTGTCTTTTTTCAGAAATAGTTTTGAAAAATTGTTTTGGAGAGAGAGTTTTAAAAAAGGTGATTGATTTGATGTGTACGAGAGAGAGAGTGATTTTGGAAAGTAGGTAACCAAACAAAATTTTGAGATTTTTTTTGGAAAAATTTGTTTGGTTTGATTACTCTTGAAAATTTGTTTGTAGAGAATTTTTCCTAAAAATGTTTCTAAAAAACAAACCAAACAAGGCCATACTTTTTGGCGATTAATAATAATATTCTCACTTTTAATCTTCTATAGACGATAAGCTTCAATTTGTCATGACATAGGTTATTGATGGTCTTCCAGCAGAGTTTGTGCTTGGAAGGGATGGTCAGCCTCCGTCAAAGGTTTTCATGGAAGCTATGCCATATACTCAGTCATTGCTGGCTAGTGGAATGGCAGTTGGGTATCATGCAAAGGCTGCACCTCCCACAGTTACAATGCCTCGCTTGAAGGTGACAATATTTTTCCATTTTGATGAATACGCGTTAAATAATTCTGTATGAAGTATGGTTGTACCTTGCTATTATTTTGTAATAGCAGACTATGGTGTCTGGGGCAATTGGTGGATTCTTGGATGTGGCATTCAATTTTAACACACAAGCTTTTTTGGATGACAATCTTATAGGTTAGCCTGTAAAATTATGCTGAATTACTATTGTAGATCATGTGACCTTTGGTAAATTACCTGGTAATGTTATTATTGGGTCAATATGTTTTGTTGCAGGTCAATTTTTTAATATTGGTTGGAAAATGGTGATGCTTGGTGATGAAACATGGCTGAAGTTGTTTCCCGGATTATTCACAAGGCATGATGGAGTTAGTAGTTTCTATGTAAGTTTTGCACAACATTTTTTGTGCGTTTTTTCCACTAATTTATTTTCATGGCTGCCTTTTTTCCCATCTACCGCCTTCCTCTCTATCACAGCTTCCTCTTTGACCTCCGCTTGCTAACCCGGCTTGAACTTGAGTACCTGCTGATTCCATCCATAAGGAACCTCAAAGCACTGTGGACCTAGTCCAATCTTCACTGATACTGGAGGGTAGAGCTCATTAGTAAAATTTTACTTACCTACAAGTAAAAGAAACAATACGAAGCCTATGTTAGGAATTTTATCATATTCAGAACCAAATCGCCTCAATGAGGGACAAGGAGTAAAGCTAAACCCTATGATGCACGGACAAGGACACGACACGGACACACAAATTTTAAAAAAACAAGGGACACGACATGTTGGAGACACGTTCAATATATATAATTTTATTTATTTAATATATGTATAATTAAAAAAAATGTTTAAAATTAATAAAAACAGTTCCCACAAGATTTTAATAAAATTTGATTTTTTTTTTAATAAATAAGGATACCCAAAAAAAAGAAAGGAAAAAAAAAAAAAAGCTACTCAGAGAAAAAGAAAAAAAAGAAGAAGGAAGAGAGAGAAACTAAATCAGAAGTATAAAAGAAGAAAAGAAAAATGGAAAGAAAAGAGAAGAAAAACAGAAGAGAAGAAGGAAAGAAGACAACAACGAGAAGAAGAATAAAAGAAGAAAACAAAGAAGAGAAGAGAAGAGAAGAAGAAAACAAAGAAGAGAGTAGAATTGAATGAATCGAGGAGAACAAGAACAGAGACGATGAAGAAAAATGAAGAGAAGAAGAAGAATACCTCGGAGGGGCTGGCAATCGACCTCTTTGAACAGCTTCAGCACTTCGATCGACCTCTTTGAACAACTTAAGGGGGGCTTCGATCAATCTCTCTCTCTCTCTCTCTCTCTCTCTCTCTCGTCTCCAACAGTTAGGTTAGGGCTTCTTCGATCCCTTTTTAATTCTTGAAGTTTTATCTTTTTACATTTTGTACCTCATTACAAGTTTTAAAAATTATATTTTGGCCCTGCAAGTGTCCACTGTGTGTCTTCGCACGACTGCAAAAATTCAAAAAAAAAAAAAAAAAGGGACACATCTTGTAGAGTGTCCAACACGTGTTGGTGGCTCTAGAGAGGTGTCCGTGCTCCACAGGCCAAACCTAAGAAGCATGGACACGGACACGTGACACGACACGAGTACGACACGGACACACCGACACGTTAATTTTCAAAAAATGCAGGACACGACACGAGGAGGACACGCATGAAATATATAATTTTATATATTTATTATATGTTATATATATATGAATATATCATTCAAAGATAATAAAAAATGCAATATGACACTAATTGTTATAAATTTATATGGTTTTTATTTTATTATTGTATCTTAAGTTATTTTGTTCAAACTTATAATTAGTTTTACGTATGTCTAATCGTTAGACACGCGTGTTTAAATGATTGACACGTGTGTCCTTCAAGTGTCAAAGTCTTTAAACAATAGGACACGTTTTGAAGAGTGTCGGACACGTGTCCTGAGGGTGTCCAAAGAGTGTCGGTGTCCGACACGTACCCGACACGGATATGTCACCTTCCTAGAAGTGTCCGTGCTTCTTAGGGCCAAACCTTTTTTTATTTTTTATTCTTTCAAGGACACAAAGCATCACAACCAAACAATATGTTGGGGGAAGACTGCAATAACAAAAAGGATCAACATTTTTTGTTGCTGAATTGTCTAAACCTTCTTCTCTTTGATCTTAATTACTCAACAAGCTTTATTCCCAATTACTTGGGGATCAAACTATCTTCTCCCTGATGTGGTAAAAAGTAAAAGGTTATTTGCTTGCTCCTTTGAGCCCTTAACTATACAAGGATATTTGTCAAATATTTGCCGTACAATACTTGTGACTTCTATTTGCTTCCTAATGAAAACATTAGCTTGTAGAAATTTTAGTTTCCTGCTCTCTTATTCACTATCATGGGGAAAAAAATGTAAGCTTACAAAATATAGCCATATTTCTGTCTTTGGAAAGAGAAAGTAAAGGGTTCCTACTTTTTTTTCTTCTCCCTTATTATTTTTTATTTATATTTTGTAAAGACAAAAATGATTTTTCACTAGAAGCACAAGATTGAGTGAGAAGAACATAAAGTTTTCTGTCTTGGCTCTTTTACTGGGATTTGTTTAGGCCACTCTTCATTTCTCTGGTCATCGTTATCTATTTTTTAGTTAATAGCCGTACGTCTAGGTTGGTCTGGGTTCTTTGGTTGATCTTCCTTGCTAGTTATTATAGTGTGACAAAATTATATGGTCTTCTGTCCAGTAAGTGATTCCTTGTCAACGCACTGATCTTTTTGCATAGCTTCGGGAGTTAGTGTGTGAAGGTTGTTAGCTAACTTAACAAAACTGTTCAATGTTCTTGAAATCCTGATTATATGATATTTATTGTGAATTCTTGCGACAGGTTAAGGATACTGTAGAAGTGGATCACAATGTTTCTCGACACTTGGGTGATGAGCTTAACAGGACCGACTGGAACCTTCTGGTGATTTATATGTTCTTTTACCTGTCCATATTTTTTTCCAGGCTTACTTTTTTTTTTTTTTAATTTTTTTTTTTTGTGCCCCCCTTCCATTTCTTGAAGTATGATTTCACTTTTGATTGTTGTTGTAGTGCATGCACATTTATATGCACACACATATAATGTTAATTTCTCAATATTATGCATTTAAAGTGCGGTATTGGTGTTGAACTGTATTTAACCTTGCCATTTAAGCAAAAGGTCCTCTTCTTAAACCATACTTGTTGGTAATTTTGGGAGAAACATAGTGTTTCAATTTATCCTGGTCATAATAAATGGTTTGGTTTTTTATTCCTACAACATAGATGCCTCTTCACAAACCTGAGTTATCTGTTTTGTGCTTGTATGATAGTTGGTTTATGTCCAAGAGTTTAAGACTTTGGTACTCAATGTACTTTTCTTTTTTCTCAATGTTAGTAAAATTTTACATTTTGTAAACAGAATCTCTGTATATTTTTTTTTTTTGTGTTTTCCCTGATTTTGTTTATTCATTTATATATATATTTTTTCTTTTTTGTTTCATAAGAAAGACAGATATATTTTAGGGGAGGAAAAAGAGCTATGTGAGATTCTCTTTTCGTCTTATTTGATTGTTCAAGGGTTATGCCTCCTCGGTACGTTCTCTAATATAATTTTGTTTTGTCGTTGATAAAAAAAAAGAAAGAGAACTATGCGAGAGAAGGATGGATGAGGCTTCCCCTATGAAAAGTCCCCATCAAAGAGATTTTACAAACCCTTGTAAACTTTGCCCCACTATCCCTCAACTCTTCAAAATGAAAGCCCCACATTTGTCAAGAAGTCTGCCTCCATTATGTCAAAATAAATTGATGTATTATTGATTGATGGATTACAAGATTGATATTGAGTATAGGCCTAAATCTTATGGCTCTGATACCATGTATATAAGCTAGGGTTTGAAGTATCTGTACCTCTAAAGAGAAAAACAATCTATTGTTTCTTGCATCAAGCGAGCATGGTGCCTGAAACCCAAGGATTGTGTACCAATTATTTTTTTATTTTTATTTTTTGTTTAGTGAGAGATTTATTAGAAAAAAAAGAAAGGAATGCAGTTATCATGGAGGGCATACCCTTCCAGAACAAAGAAAAAACCCATTCAAGGAATCAATCAACAAACAAGAAACAAACATAAAACTATATGGCCAAAGAGGGAGTGGAAATATTTAGACTAGTTGTTGCATATTAAAGAGCCATACTAAAGTGAAGTTGTGAGGCTTTCACTCTGACATCATGCTTGATAAGATCAATAAGATGGCTGCAATTTCCAAATCTTGGAATCTCCCTCAACCAAACAATGATGAAGTCCCAATAAGAATGCTTCTTGAAGGCTTACCGAAAGAGCTAGAATTTTCACTTAAGAGAAAAATCCATTTCCGACTGGTCTATGGAATTAGAAATAACACTACCATGAGGGTCCATTATAATCCACGAACGCTTAGGGGACACAAATACCTAGTTGCATACCCATGAAAATTAAATAATAGTTTATGCCTACGAAGGATGCGAGGATGATATCTATTTTGAATTTCAAAATAAACTCGACTGCATCCCTTTAAATCCTCGAGCTTCTAGAGCCTAGTGTGAGGTTAAAAAATTCACTGCAACTTGCAATTTTCTTCTTTATGTTGGCTGTGGTTAATTTACTATATGAAATTGGTCAGTTCTTTACGGTATTATTTCATACCCACTTATAGAAAATGAAAAAAAAGAAAAAGAAGAAGAAAAAGAAAGTTAGATTTCCACGGATATCCAAATAGTATCTAAGTTCTTTCTTCCTTTTAAGAAAATTTATTTTTTTAATCTTTGGAGTGACATGTAACTTTGAGGGCAAGCATTAAGAAAATATTTAAAGGAGAACCCATGAAGCAGGCGACGAAAGCCTTATTATTATTTTTAATTTTTGGCATTGACACAGTGATCCCATGCCATCTTTTTATCCTCTTCATGCTGAATGTCTTTTTGTTGGTTTCTGGCATTTGTAATTTGTTCGCACTATCTTTGTCCATGTCCTCTTTTGTTGTTCCCTTATCCTTCAACAACGTTTTACTTCAAAGGAACTCTACTTTTCAATGGTTCAGCAATGTTCAGAGATGCACCTATATGGAATAATTTGGTTTAAGTCGAGAGTGCTGCAAGGGGTGCAAAGAACATAGGCAAAGGTCCTTTGGGAGTTGACTTGATGTTGGTGCCCTATAATTTAAAAGAAGATATGGCACTAGATAGAGTTGATAAGAAAATGAATCCTTGGCAACTGGAAAAAAGTATTCTTGATTTGGTTCAGGCCCACTTCCAAGCTTTCTCTTCTATGCTTGTTATTGGTCTGGTTTTCCCTAGCGCTCCTACTTATCTCTTTTATTATCGTTATACTTGCTTTAACCTTGAGTAGTTTAGTTTTTCAACTTCATCATCCTCTGTTATAATTAAATTATTGGCAAGTCTGTGCAAGGAAAATTGCGACTTGTGTTTCACTTTGTTTTGGATTTACATCTGGAGTTTATGCTTGTAAAATAAAATTGTTGATTTGTTGTAATGTTGCAAGAAGTGTCCAATGTTGATTTGATTATACATTTCTGTCTTATTGTTGGGTTGGATATATAAATTCAAATTTTATCTTATTCAGTGTCTCCCTGGAGTTATACTTCATTGTTCTGCAATCACATGAGTTTCACTGATGTTGTCATTCCAGATTCTTCATTATCTTGGTTTGGATCACGTTGGGCATATTGGGGGGCGCAGTAGGTAATAGCTTTATTGTTTTGCACGACCTTGGTATTTCAGTGAGTGTACTTTATCTTGATGATTGTTCAACTATTTCAGTATTTTGATGGGCGCAAAACTTAAGGAGATGGATGAAGTGGTCAAGATGATCCACTCTAGTGCTAAACGGTCTCAAGACAATAATCAAGGGCGGACACTTCTGGTTTGTGCTACTTTCTCTAGCTGTCTGGTATTAGCAGTTTCTAATTAATAATTTAATAGATCTTACACAAGTAGTTGGGAGCTTACCTTTTGGCAAACAAGTGTGTGGTGTGAATTAAGAAAAAAAGAAGACGTCGACAAGATCGTGTGGGCACAATTTTGAGGAATTGATGATTAGATCATTTTGTTGGAACAATGAGGCATGGATGCTTACATCCCATTGTTTGATATGGTTGATCTGGTTGGAGCGCAATAGGCGCGTTTTTTAGGGCGTGTCTCATCCGGTTCCTTGGTTAAAGAGGCAGCTTCTTTCGGTGCTATATAGTTGGGTAACGGGTTTGGTTGATCCGGATGTTTTGGCCTTTGTAGATTTTGTGAAGGATTTGATTTCTTAGTTTTCTGTCCCTTTGTGGGTTGTTTTTCTTTTGTATTCTTTGCATCATCTTGATGCTTTTTCAATGAAGTTTGGTTATTTATCAAAAAAAATAAAAAATAAAAAAGATCCAATGTAATGCTGGATGTATAGTTGGGGAAAAAAGAAATGCTGGAATGTACATATTCGATGCATATCCTTGCTCGCATATGATACCATAACCTGCCTTTGGGTTACATTACTGTACAATATAATCTATTATCAAATATGGGCCCCTTTTGAGCCGCTGTTTATTCCTTCTATCACTTGTCCTTCTTTTTCTATTTTACCTTGTTCTACCAAACAAGTCATCAGCCTTTTTAATAAACCTGGGCTTTTGATCTATGAGCAAGGATTCCCCTGAGCATTTGTCTTTTACAAAAACATTAAGGCATTGAGACCTCTGTTGCAGTTTAGTGTTTTGTGTATACATATATCTTGGGGTTCCCATATTGGACAGACTGTCAATTCTGATTGCTGAGGCTTTGGTCAATCTTTTGGACGTATGGCTCTTGAATGCTTTGATGATCAAAACATGAATATAGGGTGAGATCTGATGGGTTCCAGTGTTGTACTTCTTAATTTTTAGTTTTTCAGTTGTTCTGTGCAACAAAAGTAAATAATCATATGTTATTGCCCTCGCCAAAAAAGGGAAAAGGAAAGGAAAGAGAAAGACAGTTAAAGACAGAATATTAAGAAAACTTAAAGTTGAACATACATGCTTCGATCCTTTGAATGTGGATGATATTTACCTGCATCTATTTGCATGTGATCCCTAAATTTACAATTATACAAAACAAGATAGATGCAGATAGATGTAGCTATATATCATCCATTTCTGTTTGGTTTTGAGTTTTCGAAAATAGTCTTTGAGTTTTCAAGTCAATTTTTTTTATTTTTATTTTTTAGATGGGTCTAATCTAGATGTACTTAAAAATTAAAATATTTGTGAAGAAATCTTTAGAAAATTCAATAAATATAAAAAATACGAAATGTACAGAATTTTTGTATTTAGTGATTTTCTTAAAGATTTCATCACAAATTTTGTACTTTTTAAGTGTATCTAGATTAAGAGGATCTAAAAAATTAAAAAACATGATTAAAATATTAAAAAAGTTCACTAAAGCTAATGAAACTAATAGTTGCCTAAGCTAATTAGTTCCTAGAATAAAAGAGAGAATGACGGAGAGCGTTAGAGGGAAACTTTGTTCCTGAGTGGTAGAAGAGAAAGTTGGAGAAAAGAAAGGGAAATAGGATGAAAATTAAAAGCGAATTTCAGATTCATGTCTTTGGACTTGAGTATCGAACAGTTAGGCGATTTAGAAAACACGAAATGACGTGCTTATGTTAAACTAATATCGCTAAGCTACAATTACTCAGTAAATTCTCTTTCTTGGAGGCTAAGGAAGATTAGTTTGAGTTAAACATGGCCACTTAAGCTAATGAATCTAATAGTTGCCTAAGCTAGTTTGTTCCTAGAACAAAACAGAGAGGGTTGGAGAAGGACGGAGAGAGTTAGGGAAAAACTTTCTTCTTGAGTGGCAGAAGAGAGAGTTAGAGAAGAAGAAAGGGAAATAGGATGGAAATTATTGGGAATTCAAATTCATCTTTTTGGACTTGAGAATTGAACACATAGGTGATTTAGAAAGCCTTAAATGAGATGCTTAAGTCAAACTAATTTCGTTAAGGTTATTAAGTAAAATCTTTTTCTTGGAGGAGGCTAAGCAAGATCAGTTTGAGTTAAACTTGGCCACTTAAGCTAATGAAACTGTTAGTTGCCTAAGCGAATTAGTTCCAAGAAGAAAAGAGAAAAGGATGGAGAAGGATGGGGAGAGTTAGAGAGAAACATTCTTCTTGAGAACTAGAACAGAAAGTTAGAGAAAAGAAAAGGGAAATAGCATGAAAATTGAAGGGAATTCAAATTCATCCTTTTGGACTTGACAATCGAACACTCAGGTGATGTAGAAAACTTGAAATGAGTTGGTTAAGTTAAACTAATTTCGTTAGGGTTACAAAGTAAAATCTCTTTCTAGGAGGCTGAGCCGGATTAGTTTGACTTAAACTTGGCCTCTTAAGCCAATGAAACTAATAGTTGTGTAAGCTAATTAGTTCCCAGAATAAAAGAGAGAAGGTCCGAGAAAGACGAAGAGAGAAAGTTAGAGAAAGCTAGAGAAAAGAAAGGAAAATAGGATGAAAATTAATGCTAATGCGAATTCAAATTCATCCTTTTGGACTTGAGAATTGAGCACTTAGGTGATTTAGAAAACATTAAACGAGTTTCTTAAGTGAAATTAATATCGTTAAGCTACAATTACTCAGTCAATTCTATTTCTTGGAGGGTAGGCATGATTAGTTTGAGTTAAATTTTCACACTTAGTAACTTTTTGGCTTTTTAGCTAAAAATGAGGGTTTCCAAACGAGGCCTAAAAACAAAAAAAAATACCAATTGAAAACTCAACAATTGTTTTTGAAAACTCCAAACCAAACAGTCATGTAAACCGTTTTACACATCCATTTTGTTATTATATTTCTTCTTGTTTTTGTATAGAGGCTTAGGTTGAGCTACATTACATTATGGAGTGCCTTTGGAATGGTGAAAACCGAGTCCATTTTATATTGTTATTTTTGTTGCCCTTTTTTATTGTGTATGTATTGACTTCTGTTTTCAAACCTGTTTGGATGATAAGTCTGGTCCATAATTTCCACTAATTTGGTCTATAAGTGTGACAAACACGTCAGTACCAGTGTAAGCCTATCTTCTGTTTTGAATTATCTGTTCATAGTTAAAAGTTTGTATAAATCTAGCAGCCTATCTTCTGTTTTGAGTTATCTGTTCATAGTTAAAAGTTTCTATAAATCCACCATTTTCTTTTGGATCACAGCATTCAACCATTCACTGCTTACTCAGGTCACATTTTTTTGTTTGCACTTCTGACATTCCCCCCATTAAAGAAATTGAATGTACTAAGTATTAACATTCTGTTTTTGTATGCATTTCATTTGTAGGTGGTAGTCAGTGATCATGGCATGACTGACAATGGTAATCATGGGGGGTCTTCATATGAGGAAACTGACTCCTTGGTGCTTTTTGTTGGTCTAAAACATAAAGCCTATGATTGTCCATTGGTAATCCATAGCACAGCTGACCAGGTGTTTGAATTGTAGATTCTATGTTTCTATTTTAACTTTTACCATCATTTTCTATGTTTCTATTTTAACTTTTACCATCATCTTTCAGTCAACTGTAATAGCAATTGTTTTCCAACGGTTTATTTGCAGTGTATTTGCATTGAGATAAAATTCAATTATTGCCTTGGGCCTCTTGAACAATAAAGATTCACAATTAAGAAATGTCCGGATATGGATATCTATACAAGCAATGGCATCGAACACGGAACATTTTAATTTTTTAATTTTTTAATAGTAAAAGAGTTTATATATGGAGGCACCAAGGGGGTACCACCCATATACACTATTGGAAAAACAAATCAAAAGGCTTAAATCATCTATACATCACAACTTTACTCAAAAATATAAAGTTCAAAAATTAATTCAAGGACATATCAACTCTACCCGAGAACCAACTATACAAAAAAGACAAAATTTTACTCTTCATTTCAAAATTAGGTCCTTCCACCCTGTCAAAAGTCCTTCTATAAAGCCCTCCTCAAATGATCTACATCACAATCAGAGGCACCAAAAACCAAGACTTATTCCTTGTCTTTCCCACTTTAGTCCCCCTCAAAGATTGGAGGAACATCCATTAGATTCTTAGGGAATGTGCAAACAACATACATAGAGAATCAAAGACCAAAGGTCTCTAACAACCATACAATGAGTAAATAGATGATTGATTGATTGCCCATCCTGCTTATACATACAATACCAATTAATGTGAATTTGCTTCCTCCTGATCGATTTATCAATGGTAAGAATCTTCGATGCACTCTCATCCATATAAAAACTGCAATCGTAGGAGCCTTAGACCCTCAAAATGTCGTGTCCTCAACCCCATCCTACAAGGAATTTGACTATGATCAGCCACTAACAACTTGCTACCAAAGGCCTAAATTGAAATGAAGTGTTTGTACACTTGTTAATTATTGAACAAAATTACATATGTTAGCGGAAGCAGAACCATAACTTAAATATCTGTGCTTTTCATTGCCACTGTGCCAAGTCTCGCACTGTCATTTCATTATACAAAAGACTTGATACAAGTTATTAGAACATCTCTTGGCCAACATACAAAGGCCACAATGTTCATTGTCATTACATCATTCAAAATAAGATACATCATGTCTCATATTACAAAATCTTTTTGGTCTTCAGTTTTCAAAAACAGTTTTATGAGTTTTTAATCTTTATTTTTTAGATTTTAGCTATTTTTAATTTTTTTTCCTTTTTTAGATTCACTTAATCTAGAGATACTTAAAAAAAACAAACTTTGTGAAAAATTCTTTAAAAAAATTCACTAAATACAAAAAAAATACATTTTCTTATTTTCTTATTTTTTTAGTTTTTATTGTTTTTTTTTTAGATTTCTTCTCATATATTTTACTTTTGAAGTATATCTTGATTAAGTAGATCTAAAAGGTAAAAAAATTGATTAAAATATGAAAAAAAAATTTCTACGAATTTAAAAAAACATATGCAAACTATTTGTGAAAACTCAAAACCAAACAGAAAGTTTTCATCGCACGAACATATGCACAAAACTTCAGTCTTCATGTTATATAATGTGTACACAAAATGCTTGATCCTTGAGCTTAAACCTCATCTCATGAAGGCGTTTAGAAGGATTTGGGTGAACTACACTAGCTCAGCAAATAATACAAATACTGAAGCATATCAATTTACTATATATTGTAAACGAAAGCATTCATGCTCAATTGGAAGATCATGTAAGAAAATTATAATTTATCAAAGGCTTTTTAGAAATAACATGTAAGATTTGAATAAATCGTAGTATGCAAAAGAAATCATAATATTGTCATAAGATTGGGTCCCTAAAAAAAATCATGATATAATCCCCACGTGGTATACAAAATCACATAATGTGATCCCACATGGTGATTCTGAACCACATGAAGTGGTAAGTTGCATATAGCAGTAAATGTGGATGTTTGATGATAGCATATAATAGTTTCTCATTCACATTTTAAATGATGTATATTCATGGATTTCCAAAACTCATCGAGTACCAAAGCAACTTGAAACATAATACAAAAGTTACATTTTAAAAATAATAAGTAATACATTTGGGGACAAACTTGGTTTAAAGAGTAGTCAGCTCAAACCTCTAGACACTTTTAATTCCTTTAATCAAGTGGTCCTACATCAAAGGATACATGTATACTTTGTAGTACACATTTAAACATGAAGAAGTTACGTTAACTTTCCTTACTGGAATTCTAATCCATTGTAGTTCTCATTAAGATCAAACTGGTCTCATTATGTCTCTTTCTTAGGCCCTCAAAGTAGATCAAGTTGCGTTAGGAGAAAAAAGAAGAAAATAAGTGTAGAGTTCACCGCTTAAGTAATGAAGGTCCAGTGTGATGTTGATTTGAGCGGTGAAATTTCAAACTGTCACCGTTTGAAGGTGGGTTGTAATCCATTTGAGTGGTGAAAGGCCAGTTTGAGTTCCAACCTATTTCTAAAGGGTTTTCTCCGTATTTATCCAATTTCCAATCTTAGTTTAATACATTTAACATGTTATAGTTCTCACACAAGTGTTTCAAAAGCATAAGAAACATCCAATTCCAATTCAAACACAATTCTTCCATCAAAGGCTATGTACTTAGTTCTTCAGCATACTTCCAAGTATAACCTAAGACACCAGTTCTTGTCTAAATTATTCTCTTCAATTAATATCAAGAATTTAAACTTAAGGTTGAAATTCATACTTTGAATCAATGTTGAACAAGACCACCTTTAAGGATTTTCTTCTTTGCTTATTTTATATAGCATAGCTTTGGTGGCCTGCAGATAATTTTGAAAGGGCATTGGGGTGGTTATGTCTATTCATTGTTCGCCGTTATTTTTTTTATTTTTTTATAAATAAATTTCTCTTTGATCCAGGCTGACATTGCTCCTACATTAGCTCTTCTTTTTGGTGTGCCGATTCCTAAAAACAATGTTGGAATCTTGATGTCAGAAACTCTTGATTTTTTAACAGGTTAGGTTTTATTGATTATTTTTTTCCCTCTTTTCTCTTTTTATTTTATTGGTAACAACATAATTGTTTTAAGGATGACAATGGAAAAACACTTTCCTAGTTGCTGTAATACTGAATTGATGCTGGACTAGCACAAAGAAACATTCTCCTCTTACCAATGATGGCCAGCTTGATATAGGACAGTGGTAAAAGGTATTGTCACTCTTTATGTGGCCAAAGGTTGGTTAAAATATGTTAGAATTTACCATCACCTACCACACACTTACCATCACCTACCACACACTCACCTACTACACTCACCTACTCCTCACCTACCACCACCTAACCTACATCTATATAATCAATCAATTGTAACAGAATCATATATCAATCAATACACATCAATACATCAATCAGATATCAATCAATAATACATATATTTTTACAAAATATGGATTTTGAGGTTCTCTACGGTGTAAGACAAGGGATAAATTTCCGCAGTTTTGGGGTTTTAATATATTGAGGAGATATCTTGGATCTGTTGTTTGGTTGTGAATAGTTTTTGTGAACAATAAATAGGGCTGGTTGGTTTTGTTTAGGGTGGTAGAATGGAATGATTGATGATGCCAAAGGATTGGGCTTAACTTTTAGAGTGATAGGTTGTTGGAAATTCATAAAAACAGTGCTGGAATTTCTGAAACAGTGACTGTTTTAATCTTTCATACAGAGGCAAGTTCAGGAAAAATTTCAAGTAGAGTCTAATTAGTTTTATAATTTTTTTGATCTAATGTTTATAATAATCCATGGATAGAATAGAGAGGTACTTCTAATCTATGAAGCACCGGCACTTCAAAACAAGTGCCGTATCCGTATCGGACACACGGATACTTAGGGGACATGCGTGTGGGACACAACACATGGCATATTCCCTTATTTAATTAATTTATTTTCAGGAAATACTTCGGGGACACACTAGGGACATGCCAATTTGTCTTTGCCTTCATTTTATTTAGTACTTTTAATGAATGTTGAATTTTTATTATTATTTTTTTGAGATTTAAATACTTAATAGATCATCCATAAAAAAAGATATAAACTGTAAGTGTTAATTTAAAAGTGCTTTTTTAAATAAAAAAAGAAAGAAAGAAAGTAGAATTAGAGTTAGTTTTTGTTAATATTGATTGTTTGTGGATGTAATATTAATTTAGATATCAAATAAATATATATGAAAACATATTTTATTGCTGTGTTCCCGCCATGTCCGTGTCCCTATTTTTTTGAAATTGCCATGTCCCGTGTCCGCATCCTTATCCGTATACGTGCTTCTTAGCTTCTAATTATTGTGTTAGTTACTTGCACCTACAAATTTGAAGGGGAATTTTGAGAAACCACTATATGAAATTAAACTAGCTAGATAAGATAGAATAGGAAGTGAATACTTTGGGAAGAAGCTGAGGCAATACTAATTGTGGATTTTTTTTTAAAAAACAATTTTTTTTTATAAATAACGCTGCAGAATGAGATGAACCATAAGATTGTCTGCTCACGTGCTGCAAAGACCAAGGACTGCATTATTAATGAGGAGCAATTAAATATAAGTTCGATCATTTGTAGAGAAGGTCAAAAGGCAAATGAGTGTAGTCAATGAAAGTGGACATGGAAGGTTATAAGTCAACAAATGATGCGGCCAATGAAAGTGGGCATGAATAAATGATGTGGTCCTTAGACAAACTCCTACAAACAAAGCAACATATCGAAAGATAAGGTTGCAAAAGAATGTAGCCAAGCTGAGTATTTGGATGCTTGAGCTCGGTTCGGTTGGCTTGAAGGATATTCAAGCACGAAAATGTGTTCTCAATATCTGCTCAGACAGTTGTCACCATGGTTGTTTGCCGGATTGACTTGTTGGTCTTTATATAGCTAATGAGCTTAAATTTCGACCAAACACTTGTCATGCCTTTATTAAATGATTGAAGATTTGAATTTAAAGTTAGAGAAGCTGATGGCATTATGCTAGTTATCATAGTTAGAATGTAAAATGAAGGAATTTAGGGTTGGGATTTAGGAGAAAGAAGAAGAAGTTTTATATATATTGAATAAGCATGATACCTCAACTTTGCATCAGTCAAATATATATACAAAACCCTAACATAGCAATATGACCATCGTACCCTCAACTTAAGCAAATATTAACAATAGAACAAAAGAAGAACAAAAGAACAAATTAAGTATTCTAACAATCGTCATATCTACACACAAGATTAGATGCTTGCTGATCTTAGGTCTCAAAAGATTGTACTCGTTATGTTTTGTTGTGTGTTCTTGTGACATGTAGCAACTATCAGTATCTAATGGTGCTGATGTTTGACCATAATTTCAAAATTGTCATTGAATATGTTCATAAGCTTGACTAGTCAAGTCAAGTCTTGTTTATTTCATGAGCCTTGAATAGGAGCTCGAGCTTGGCTTGCTTCTTATTACTATGATATTGTATCACGTGTTCAGTTTCAGACAGTTATTGGGTTTACTTGAAAAAGTTGTCATTAGGTTCGACTTTGAAATGCTCCCTTCGTCTCACAATGTTAATTCCTTTTTGGGAGTTGCAACTTTTTAAGGTGACACGTGTAATCAATGCATTCAAATTCAAATGAGAAGGCATTAATTTCCCAAATTGCCCCTATATTTGTAGTCATTTATGAAGGATAATTTGGAAAGTCGTAATATTTTATGCTTTGACTTTTTGAAAAGGACTACTCCCTCCTTCCATTTTGTTAGTCCGTCTTTCTATTTTGGGACGTCCCATTTTGTTAGTCCTATTAGAAAACTCGAAGTAAACAAAGTGTTTGTTTTTCAAAACCATCCATTGTAAGTGGCTATAAATTTATTTTAAAATGAGAGTAAAAGGGTATTGTTGGATTAGTGTTTTAAAATTTGAATTAAAGTGCAATAATTGCATGTTCCCTTAAAAAGTTAAAACTCTTAAAAGGGACTAACAAAATGTGATGGAGGGAGTAATATATTTTGGGACATCTCAAATTAGAAAAGACTAACATTGTGGGGCAGAGGAAGTATTCCTTATCAAGTGATGTTGTATGCCATGTCTAGATTTTTTATATCTGCAGTCAAACCTAGCGAAGCATGAACCACTGTGTTAGCTAGTTTTGGTGTTCATTTTTGAATTGTTTTACATGTTATATTGGTAATAATATACAATCTGTGCAGAGACATTGCACATGGAATTAGAGTATGATATTTGAAGCTGGACGGTGCTCCTGAATTATTTTGAGACTGTAGAATATTGGTCGAGGTATGTGACCTTCCTGTGCTTCATGTTATATGATGCATGCCCAAGCAGCAGGTTAAGGCCAAGCCTAAGACAGCATGTGAAAGTGTTGTCCACTTGATTGTCTGTCATATCAAGTCTATAACCAAGGAAATCTTGGGACAAGGTTTTCTTGAGTTGAATGCAGTTGAGTAGTCCTCATTAGAAATTAGACATGGAGACTTTTAACATGTTTTTGCTATTTAATTTATTTGGTATCAAGTAAGTAATCTTGCTTTAGTTTCAAGCAAAAGATTATTACTTGGGAATTAAGGATCATTTTTGTTCTATATTCTATATATCTACTTGATAATGCCAACTATACGTACCTGAGGAGTGAATTGAGTCATGGAATTTATCATTTCTGGGTGATCAATTTCCCTTTTGCAATGAGATATAAGGATTGAACAGGACGATATTCTATTGCTCGCTTCTGAGTTCTGCTTCCCTGAATGAAAATTCTCAGTTTACTTTAATCAACATTAAATTGAAGAATCCCTGTCTTCTTTATAGATGCAGGAAAAAATTATTGCCATCGTGTTTCTTAGCCACCAGGACTACATCAGTACAAATGTTGGGTTATCTAGAAACATGAATGGACATGATCTTGATGGACAAGGGTCCTAAGGTGGATAAGGTAATATCAGGAAGGATAGAACATTATGCTTGCATTCAAGTCGTTGATTTAGAGAACCCGATAGTGTTGATTTCTTACTTACCAAAAAAGACAAAAAAAAAAGGGGGGGGGGGGGGGGGGGTTCCCCCACCCCAAATTGTCCAGTGAAAATTAGTTTCTGATTTTGTATGCTGAAAAAATTAAATAAATATAACTCATGAAAAAATAAAGTGCCTTTGTCATTATTACTTTAGATCTTTTAGTTGATTTATCTTGTCAGAAATCAGCAGACAGTATCTGTTTGTCATTTTGCTCGTATCCTGTGTGACCTATATAATTTCTGACTTATCCTTCTTATCTTGATTATTACAGATGATCAACGGCTGAGGACACTAGAGTTGAATTCCTGGCAGTTACTTAGATTACTTCAAGCACAGCTACCTGGTTTATCTTGTGGAAGTTTCTCAAGTGATGTAATCAGGGATGATCAATGGCCTGCGATCACCAAATGTGATGGTAGCGATGAGGGGATGTTTTGTTGCTTATTTTTAAATGCTGCAGCTCTGCACAAATCGTGGAAATCTAAAAGGGTCTCTAGGTTGTTTATATTTGACTTTATTCACTACTAAAAATTTTGAAGCTAAATTTGTTTAGAGAAATGCTGAAGCCTTTCTTCTTCTGTGATATATATAGGTCTAATAGCAGAGATGACTACAGCAATACTGTTTCGGCATATGATGATTTTCTAAGAGCTGCAAGAGAGTGGTTATCACACAGAGCAACTTATGTAGGTGTATCCTATTTCAACAGTAGTTGAGTTGATCCTTTTCTGGTTGAAAGATGCCTAATTAGTGGTGTCTGTATTTTTTGTGAGCTTTGATGACTAGATATTTTGTGCACTTATTTCTTTCTTGTTCCTTTTATTTGCACTGTTTTTATCATATTGCAGAAACCTGCTGGCCTACTTGCTTCTGGAGTTGCAGCAATGGTCCTTTCATGCTTGGTATTCATAGGGCTTCTTCTTTGGTTGGACCAAGAAGTTTACCTCTGCCAAATGCATCATCTTTCTGACTTGAAGAACAATAAGCATAAGTGGCATTTGGAGGAGACTTATGTTCTGGCTATCATTTTTATCCTTGTTTTAAGTATGGGATCTAGTTCTATGGTTGAGGAAGAGCAATATATATGGCATTTCTTGACATCCACATTTTATTTGGTATTACTCCGTAAAGCAATTCAGTCCCCTATAGCAGGCGTTGCACAAAGTTTGATTACCTTGGTCAAGGGACAAAACAGACGAAGATCTAGTCAAATATTTTTCATCATTCTGATTCTCCTTTCTGGGAGGATTATGAGAGGCTGGCATCAGGGTGGTGTGAACTGGGCTCATCTTTCTGACATTTCAAAGTGGCTTGAGCAAGCAGGAAGAGATTATGTAAAATACATCCAGCTGGTCTCATGGCTTCTTGTGATCAGCTTAGGCTTGTATTCTCTTTCGTTATTTCGGACAAAGAAATATTTTGTTATGTTGATTGCATTCTTATATTTAGTCCCGGCAATGTTGGTTCTACGACATATCCTAAAATATCAGGACAGTGCATTTGCAGCATCCAGTCATGGTGCTACCTCAATGGCACAAATAATTTACGCAGTTCTGGGGATTCTCACATGTGGTGCTGTTTTTGCCTTACCGTGTCTTATACCGGTTCAGAATCCTAAGATCTTCTCAACCCATGATGTTTGCTGGTCAAATAATTTTCTTGCTGATGTTAGAAGGAAGTTTCTGCTTGTTGGCTTTAGAGATTGTGCTTATGTTATCGGGTGGGCTTATATGCTTTGCTGGTGTCTTCTACAGCTGTTGCTACAACAACCAATAAATTCAATGCCTATATTATTGCTTCTTGTGCAAATACTGGCCAGTATTTGTTATTGTTCTAACAGTGGCCTGCATCTTAAGCAGTGGGTTGAGGTGAGTCAAAATCTCCATGGTCTGGTGAATTTTAGTTTTCCTTGGGTTGAGAACGAGTTAAAGCCAGTGTCAAATAATTTTCAAGGAAACTTGGAAGTTGGACTCTTATAGTTAATATAGGGTCAGGCTTAAAGGGTAAATAAAGCTCAATATTTGAACTTGGTTTAAGGTTGAAGGTATGTTTGCAAAGTGGAGAACATCAAGCATGTTTTGCTTTGGTAGAGAAAGAAAGGGATAAAATACATTTAGAGATCCAAAAAAGGCTTTCTTGCTTGGATCTTCAAGGTGACAGATCTATTATCTTGTCTTATGAAGTTTATTTTCAACCATGATTTAAGGATCCTTTAAAGTTAAAATATTGAAATTGTGGCATAAAATATTACATTTTGCAGTAACTGATGACATTGTAGTTTCTTTTTGTTTATCATTTGATATCGACTACAGAATTTACTTAATTGAGTGATACCGAACCAGGTTAAAAATATCCCTGGCATAGTAAGATCTGAAATCCAATTAACAAGCACTATAATTCTGACTGAAATGGTGAAAATGTAATGACTCCTAGACGACTAAAAAAGAGTAAAATTTTATCACTGTCTTCGCTTTCTAAAATTAAGGCGTATCCAATATACTTACTTACTTACAACTGAGCAACCAGATGAGCAACGGAAAGTTTTGACCTAAATGGCCCAAAAATGTTCTGTGGCAGTTCTCCATTTAAATTACTTGCTCAATATTTTGGCTAGGAGAAGAATATTGGAGCCTTTGTTTTCTATAAATAAGAGACTTTGAATTCTAAATTCCTTCACTCAGTGTGCAATCAACACTAAGATCAAGAACATGGTTGTCAAAGATGGAATTAATCCCAACCTAATACTACTAAATTTTTATTGAACTACCATTCAGTTTCCATTGTGATAAAATCTATTTTTAACTTGGAAATCGTACTTGATGCAATTAGTAAAACCTCAAGCTGTCAAGCGTGGGAAGAATTGTTTTTCTGAGGGCAGCCACAGTATGCAAATAAAGTTGGAACTGCCCCATTGTTGATGGTACTAACACTAGTTAATGGTGCTTGAGAAGAGATGTTCATGGTTAGATGGCTGGGCCTGTTAATTTTAAGGATATTTTGGTAGCTAAACAAGAATTGTACAAATGGCAATGTGAGAATATTATGTTAATTATAGAAATATATATATTAGGTTGATTGTATATTTTAGATTGATTGTGTGAATATTAGATTGATTGTATAGGGTTATTCTTATTGCCTATTTTAGATTAGGTTTAGGATTGCTATATATATCGGTCGTACTCTTTGTATTATAGACAATTGAATATACAAAAATCATTCAGAAGTCTTACATGGTATTAGAGCAAGGTTCGAAACCCTAGCTTTGCTCGTCAAATCTTCTCTGGTTTGTTTGTTTCAACCATCTTTCTAGTTCGTCTACTTTAGCCTTATGGTTCTTCCAGTCAGTCGTCTGCCATTTCCTAGATTGATCAACCCACCTCTGGTTTGATTGAGTTTTCGATAGTCATCTAAGTTCGACTTGCACTCCAATCTATCGCGACCAACTTGGTTTGAGAAGACCCAGATCACGTTTCATCTGGTTCGTGTTTCGTTTGCCTTGTCTGGTCATCTGGGTTGTTTGGTTTATAACTTTTGGTTCGTAACTTCTCCTTCTCTCTCTCTCTCTCTGCCACTTTGGTTTGTGCGACATCTCTCCCTCGATCGATTTATGGTTTTCATCTCCTCTATGTGCTTCGATCTCTGGTTCAGACCTGTATCACAACTCTCTCTGGTTCTTGAGTTCGAAGAGCTTTGTTATTGGCTTCAATCTCGATCGACTTCTCTCAACTTCAATCTCTCTCTCTCTCTCTCTCTCTCTTTCTCTATCTCACCTTCTGGTTCTCAGTATTGGTTGTATTCTGAGTTCTGACTAGTCCCACCTAAAACCCTACTTTTTGGTTTATTACACTAAAGTCCGTCACTTTTTGGTTTATTATACTTTGCCCATTAGTTCTCTTATGCTTTTTTTGGTTTATTACAATGTCAGATAATTAGATTGTTAGGCCTAGAAATAGGCTGTTGGCTTCAGACGAGTGTGCTTTCTGTCATCAGAAGGGCCATTGGAAGTATTGTTGTTCCAAGAAGGGACGTCTGTCTGCCTCATCTTCTTAGCAGTCTCAAACCTAGTTCTGAGCTCCTCTTGTGAGTACTTTTTGTCCTTCCGTCAATTCCACTGCATCTGTTCCGACTCCTGATCTTGACTTGGCTTCCTTGAGTGCTCAGATTAATCAACTTCAGTATATACTATCTACCTCCCAGCCCTCTCCGTTTGTTTCAATTGTTTCCTCTCTTCATTCAGGTTTGCTTGGGTCTTCTTTGGGTGTCTCTTCGTCTGTCTAGATTTTTGACTTTGGTGCTTTTCATCATATGACTCTTCATCTCTTCTTATTTCAAAATTGTATTCCCTCTCCCTTCCCTATTACTGTTAATGCTGTTAATGGGTCTAACATGTCTGTTATATCCATTAGGTCTGTTCTACTGTCTGCTATGTCTGCTGTTTCTATTCCATCCGTTCTTTATGTTTCTTAGTTATCTGTCTGTTTATTATCTATCAGTCAGCTTGATGCTTCTGGTTTTGATGTTATCTTTTTTTCTTCTATCTGCTCTGTACAGGATCGGATGTCCAAGCAACAGATTGGGACTGGTTATAGAGTTGGATACCTCTATGTGGTGGAGAACTTGCATCTGCCTATGACAACTTTTCCGACTACCTTTTTCTCTTTTCAATTAGATTCTTTGTCCAATCCTTTCTACTTGTGGCATTCTAAATTAGGCTATTTGTTTGCTGAACGCTTACAGTTTTTAGCTCAGTCAGGTGTATTGGGTAAAGTTTTTCCTAGTGAACTTACCGAGTGTTGAGGGTGTAAATTTGCCAAAATGACAGCCTTACCTTTTCGTAAAAGTACTTCTATATCTAATACACCGTTTTCTTCAATTTATACTGATGTTTGGGGCCCTTCTTCTTTTCTCGCCAAATGAGGTTTTGCATACTATGTGTCATTTATTGATGATTGTATCCGTTACACTTGGATCTATCTTATGACTCATAAGTCCGATTTCTATCAGATATACCGTACCTTTCAGTCTATGATCACTACTCAGTTTGGGTCTACAATTAAAGTGTTGCAATTTGACTTGAGTGGGGAATATTTTAAAACTGAGTTCTGTGAGTATTTAGCCAATTTACGTACTGTTCACCAAACTTCCTGTACTGATGCACCTAGCCAAAATGGTTGAGCCGAGTGTAAACGCTGTCATTTCCTTGAGATAGCTAGATCTCTTCTTCTCTTTGCTTCAGTTCCGGCTTCGTTTTGAGGGGAGGCAGTTCTTATTACTGCTTTTCTTCTCAATCGCATACCTACTCCCCTTCTTTCCGGCTGATCTCCTTATGAGGCCTTGTTCTATCAACTTTTCAATTACCCCCTCCTTCGTGTGTTTGGATCTGCTTGTTTTGTCTTTTTATCCCGTAGAGATAGGACCAAACTTAGTGTCCGGTCTGTTTTATGTGTCTTTTTGGGTTATAGTCTTACTCAGAAAGGTTATCGTTGTTATGACCCTGTTTCATGTCTCCCGCCATGTTGCATTTTTCGAACGTTTGCCTTACTTTTAGCTTCGTCCTCTCACTATCCCCGCTTGTGAGAATATGTTAATTATGAAAATATATATATTAGGTTGATTATATAATTTAGATTGATTGTGTGAATATTAGATTGATTGTATAGGGTTATTCTTATTTCCTATTTTAGATTAGGTTTGGGATTACAATATATATCGGTTGTACTCTTTGTATTATACACAATTGAATATACAGAAATCATTCAAAAGTCTTACATGGTGTCAGAGCCCCTCCTGATGAGTCCCTCTCCACCGATCCCCATGAGTCTGTGCCCTCTTCTCTTCCTTCTCCTTCCCCGTATGCTCAGTCTCCTTCTTCTTCTCCTTCCCGGTATGTTCAGTCTCCTTCTCCTTCTCCTTCTCCTTCTCTTCCTCCGTTGTTAGTCTATTCTCGTTGCAGGGCTCTCCTTTCACCAATTGTTTTTGCCTGTTGCTGATCTTCCTGCTTTTGACGACTCTAATCTTGCTAACTATAAGTATCCCCTTTCGCATCTGTAAACAAGTAGTCAAATTTGGTTTTGCTAAAACATGTTTTTCTCTTTCATATTGTACGTTTTTGTTTGCTATTCACTCTTTTTCAGAGCCTCAGTTTTACGAGGAGGTTTGTTAGGATCCTCATTGGATTCAAGCTATAGAGGATGAGTTGTCTGCTTTGCAGAAAATTAGTACTTGGGAGTTGATTTCTTTGTCTGCTGTTAAGAATTTGGTTGGTTGTAAATGGGTTTACAAAGTCAAGACTCATTTTGATTGTTCTCTTGAGCGTTAAAAGGCTCGCCTGGTTGCCAAGGGTTTTTCATAGGAGTATGGTATTGATTATGAGGAGATCTTTGTCCCTGTTGCCAAGATGACTACTGTCTGTACTTTGAGATCTATCTCTGTCGTTCGTCATTGGCCTTTTTATCAGATGGATGTTAAGAACATTTCTTAATGGTCATCTCGCTGAGGAGGTTTACATGAGTTCTCCCCCTGGCCTTCACCATTCTTCTGGACAGGTTTGTTGTCTTCAGCGTGCTCTATATGGTCTGAAGCAATCTCCTCGTGCTTGGTATGATTGCTTTTAGATTACTGGTTTCATTCTTCTGCCTAAAACTCTGCTCTGTTTTTTCTCCACACCTCTGCTGGTTTTGTTGCTTTATTATTGTATGTGGATGATATGATTATTATTGGTTCTGTTTCTTTTGTTATCTCTGAGGTTAAGTAGCATCTCTTCCGCACCTTCGAAATGAAAGATTTGGGCCCATTGAATTCTTCTGCCTAAGACTCTGTTTTGTTTTTTCTCCACACCTCTGCTGGTTTTGTTGCTTTATTACTGTATGTGGATGATATGTTTATTATTGGTTCTGATTTTTTTGCTATCTCTGAGGTTAAGCAGCATCTCTTCCGCACCTTCGAAATGAAAGATTTGGGCTCATTGAGGTGGTTTCTTCTCCCAAGGGCTACTTTCTGTCTCAAGCTAAGTATGCTAATAAAGTTATTCACTGTGCTGGTCTTACTAACACAAAGATTGTTGATACCTCCATTGAATTTAATGTGAAGCTTACCACTAATGATGGTGTTTCTTTGAATGATCCTGCTTTATATCGAGAGCTCGTGAGTTGCTTAGTCTATCTGACGGTTACTCACCCTGATCTTGCTTATGCTGTTCATGTGGTTAGTTAGTTCGTTTCTGTTCCTCGTTCTACAAATTGGGCTACTTTGGTTCGGATTCTTCGCTATCTCTAGAGTACTATATTTCAAAGTTTATTGTTGTCTTCTACTTCCTCTTTGGACTTGGTGGCTTATGCTAATTCTGATTGGGTTTGTGATGTCACTGATCGCAAGTTCACTTCTGGCTTCTATATGTTTTTTGGTGATTTTTTGATTTATTGGAAGAGTAAGAAACTGACTGTTGTTGCGCGTTTCACTGCCGAGACTGAGTACCATGCTGTAGCTCATGCCACTACTGTGATTGTTAGGCTTCGTTGTCTCTTAACTAATTTGGGTGTCCCTCAATCTTCTCTGACCTCCCTTTACTGTGACAACCATAATGCTATTTAGATTGTTCATAACACTGTCTTTCATGAGCGGACGAAACACATTGAGATTGATTGTCATTTTGTATGTCAGCATTTGCAGTCTGGCTCCATCTTGCTTCATTTCGTCTCTTTGGCATTGCGACTTGTTGATTTCTTTACCAAGACTCACACCACTGTTCGATTTCAGTTTCTTCTTGGCAAACTTTCAGTGTTTTCTGCTAAAACACTTTGAGTTTGATCGGGGTGTGAAAATATTATGTTAATTATGGAAATATATATATTTGGTTGATTGTATATTTTAGATTGATTGTGTGAATATTAAATTAATTGTATAGAGTTGTTATTATTTCCTATTTTAGATTAGGTTTAGGATTGGTATATATATCAGTTGTACTCTTTGTATTATACACAATTGAATATACAGAAATCATTTAGATGTCTTATAGGCAAGGCAAAATTGTTTTCTAAAACACAGGTCTTAGTATCTTTCAGTTTGAATTACATAATAATGCAAGTAAACTGGGGGATGTTTATTATAATTTTTTACATGGCCTGTCAGTTTCTCATACAAGTATACACATAAATCAATGTGTCTGTTTCCTTAATATATATAAACTTTGAAGAAGAGCTAGTTTTGAGACTCTTTGTATCTAATCCTGTGACTTCTCTTGACAGAAATGGTTGATCTAAAGGCGGAGTTGCACATTTTTTTTTAAACCAGTTATTCGTAACAGTTTTTATTGTATACTGCTTATAAGCTAGCACTTCACAGGTTGCAAAACTTTCATATGGGAATTTGGAATTTTCTTAGTTCCTAAACATCAGAAAATTAGTTATAATTTGAAAATCATGTTGTGAACAATTTGACACAAACACACGCGTCCATGTGTAAGAGCACAACAGACACAACGATCTGACTGAAGATGAGTTTTTTAAACAAGTTACAAGGATGAATGATGATTTGTTCCTCCTAATGTCAAATGGTTATGATAGAGCACTGTAGATAGCTATTTTTATTTTTTAGTTTTTGTTTTGTTGGCCTTGTTAGCTTATATTGGACGTTTAATAAAACTTATTGGACAGTTGTATTAGTGCTTGACATTGTGCTCACATTGGGGGTTATATAGGATAAACATGTATATGTGCTGCCTGCCAATTATCTCACTTCTTGTCATTACTAGTGCATTGAGGCGCTAACTTTGGGTATCATTCTTCTGTTTTTGTTCTTCTAGGTTGCTGCACTATTCTATTTGGGAATGGCAGGCCATTTTGCTCTTGGTAACACCAACACTCTTGCTAGCATTGATGTTGCTGGAGCTTTCATTGTACTTCCTCCTCACCTGGCATTGTTAATTAACTATGATTTTTTGTGCTTAAACCTTGTTATCTTGCCTTCATTTATCTAATTTTCCCATGATTGTTTCAATTGTCAGGGCATCTCAAGTCACTCTACATTGCTTTCTGGCATCTTAATGTTCATTATTACCTATGCGTCCCCCTTGTTAGTTTTTCTTAGCATGGTGATGTATATGTCCATGAAAGAGACAAGCTATCTTGTGATTCCGCAGGATGCGGATATTGGGCATTTTCTGAAGATGACTGTTGGCTTTCCGTGTCTGGTTCCACTGGGCTTGAATTCCGTTCTTTTGTTTGCATACACCATTGTTTTGCTGCTAATGAGGAATCATTTGTTTGTTTGGAGTGTCTTCTCTCCAAAGTAAGTCTTAATTAGATGAAAATCACATTACAAAATGCATTTGTGGTGAACCTGCATGCGTCATCCCATGCTTGGTGAGGGGTGGTAATTAATGGCATCCTCTGTCAATGAGATTGATTGTAGTCCTTGAAAACTTGATGACAGACCAGCAAATGACTGATATTGGAACCCCACCCTTCTTGTCTTCTCTCCCCTCTTTTTATTTATTATTTTATTATTTATTTAAATTGTTATCATAGCTGAAATTTAACCCAGAAAAATATAGTGATGTTTTGTCGAAAATCCAGATGATCTAATTTCCGTAAATTACATGCCCTAATTTGCAATGAAATTGGCTGATTGAGTTTCCTTCAGAGTGGATTAGCTACTTGCTTAGTGGAAACCTTTGAGATATCTTAAGAAAATCCTGGATTGAATATTCTTTTCATTCAAATATGTTTGGGATTACCATTCAGACTTATGATTGAATAGTGATTTAGATATAATTTGCATCTCATTTAATCTCTCTAGTTAGCTGGAAGGCAGTTGAATTTCCAAGGATTCAGTGGTTGTGTGACTAAAGCAATACCCTAAGCTGAAGTGGGCATCAGTACACTTACCCATGAGAGTCTTTCACTGTGGTTCCCTTTCCTTCTGAAATCATCCCTTTTGACTGACCAATTTTGTCAAGATAAACCAAGCCAAACCAAGCCTTAAGTCCCATCAAATAGGGTCGGCTACATGAATCCGTCTTCTCTACGCGGCCCTATCAAAGGCCATTTCATTAGTCAAATTAAGTAGATTCATATCTCTATTTAAAACGCTAGTCAACGTTAATCTAGGCCTACCCCGTCCCCTAACACTTCCATCTACCGTTACAGCATCGCATCTCTTCACTACTGCCTCTGTTGGTCTCCGTTGAATATGACCAAACCATCTCAAACTATTCTCTCTCAACTTATCTTCTATCGGTGCTACTCCTACCCATTTCCGAATACACTCATTCCTAATCCTGTCCTGTCTAGTCTTACCACACATCCACCTTAGCATCCTCATCTCAGCCACACTCATCTTATCTACATGTTGTTTCTTAGTTGCCCAACACTCCGTCCCATACAACATAGCTGGTCTAATAGCCGTTCTATAAAACTTACCTTTTAGTCTAGTGGGTATTCGTTTATCGCACAATACCCCAGACGCACTTCTCTACTTACACCATCCCGCCTTAATCCTATGGGCCACATCTGCATCAATCTCTCCCGCTGTTGTGATAATTGATCCTAAATAACAAAAATGTTCACTCTTAGGCAATTCTTGGTTCTCAATCTTCACTTCTCCTCTGCTTTTATTGTTACTGTTACTAAATTTACACTCCATGTATTCTTAGTTCTACTTATCCGGAATCCTTTAGATTCAAGAGTTTTTCTTCAAATCTCTAACTTTGTGTTAACTCCTTTTCTAGTCTCATCCACTAGCACAATATCGTCTGCAAAAAGCATGCACCATGGCACGTCATCCTGAATATTTATCGTCAACTCGTCCATAACTAAAGCAAAAAGATAAGGACTTAAGGTAGATCCTTGGTGTAACCCTACAGTGATAGGAAATTCATTTGTTTCTCCAGCTGGCGATCTAATAGTGGTCACCACCCCTTCATACATGTCCCTAATCACGTCAATGTAGCCTTTTGTCACCCCTTTCTTCTCTAACGCCCACCATATTATATCTCGGGGCACTCTGTCATATGCTTTCTCAAGGTCGATAAACACCATATGAATGTCTCTTTTCTTTTCTTTATACTTTTCTATTACTCTCCTCAAAAGATAGATCGCTTCCATTGTTGACCTACCAGGCATAAACCCAAATTGATTCTCTGACACCTCTGTTATGTCTCGCAATCGGCGTTCCATCACCCTCTCCCACACTTTCATTATATGACACATTAGCTTGATTCCTCTATAGTTGTTACAATTCTGGACATCACCTTTATTCTTATAGATTGGCACTAAAATACTTTTTCTCCACTCATCTGGCATGTTCCTAGTCAATAAAATTTTGCTAAACAATCTAGTCAACCAACCAACTCCCTTTTTATCCAAACACTTCCAAGCTTCAATAAGGATATCATCGGGTTCTAAAGCCTTATTTGATTTCATCTTCTTAAGTGCAATTTCCATTTCAAAGTTCCTAATCCTGCGATAGAACCTATAGTCTTGGTTTATCATATTACTGGCTATTTCTTTCTTTATTGTTGTACCTCTATGTTCCTCATTTAATAGTTTCTCAAGATAATTCTTCCATCTTTCCTTAATCTCATCATCCTTCACCAATACCTTAGAATCTTCACTCTTGATGCACTTTACTTGATTAAAATCTCTTGTTTTCCTCTCCCGTATTTTAGCAAGTTTGTATATCCTCTTCTCCCCCTCCTTACTATCTAGTCTAGTGTATAGGTCATCATATACTTTCAACTTGGTCTCTCTCACTACTTTCTTGACCTTCTTATTAGCCAATCTATAGTTCTTAAGGTTTTCCTCAGTTCTAACCTTCTGCCACTTTTTAAAGCACTCTTTTTTTGCCTTAACTACCGCTTGAACCTCTTTCCTCCACCACCAAGTTTCCCTAGAGCTGGGTCCTGTTCCTTTCGACTCTCCAAGCACTTCCCTTGAGATTCTCCTCATACAATTGACCATCGAGTTCCACATAGTGTTAGCATCACCTTCTAAGTCTCAAGTACCTTCCTTATCCATTCGATTCTTAAATATTTCTAGTTTATCCCCTTTTAGGTCCCACCATCTCGTCCTACGACGCCCACCATCCTTACTAAATTACAAGTTTTTCCTCCATTTTGTTTTCCAGTTAGAAGATGAGGGTTGAAATTGATCCAAGTGTATTCTGGTCTCTTTCTTCAATACTTGTAATGTTGTCTTTTACATTGAATTTACTTATTTATGGTAACTCCATCTTCCTCCAGGTATCTGTATGTTTGTGCTACAACTGTTTGTGTATACATAGGAGTATCTGTCGTGTATTCAACTGCAATTTACACATCTTTGGTCTTTGCCTTGCGGAGTAGAACATTGCAGTGCTCCATCAGAGATGAGTCAAGAGTGTCCATGGTGCGCCAATAATACCTACTTTCGATTCTTGCACATACATGCATGTCAACTTTTTCTTTCAGGCTTTGTTTGGTCCTGCAAAGTTTTGTGGGAGAATCAACATGAAGAAAAGTGAAAAGGAAATGGTAAGCAGCTTTTTACGTATCTGTTCGGTAATTATTATTATTATTATTATTTTTATAGCTACAATGTGATAATCATGTATTATTTACTTCGAATTATTTTCTCACCCCCCTATTCCCCCGGCCCACCTCAAAAGGTGAAATTGAAAAAGAAAAAGAGGTTATCATGAAGTGTTACAATGTTCAGATGTAAATTTTAACTCGAATGAAGAGACCTTGTTAAGAGTTCGGAGCTCATCCTCCCCCCCCAACAAAATCTTTCTTGCAGCTGCAGTGCACACTCTCTCTTCAATTATTCTGATAAACATTTCCCCTCATTTATGTTGTGTTTGGTTTTCTAAAATGATTAAGACTTGCTTTATTCACATTGTTAAACATTTTAATTTGTCTTTACTTTATAGTTAGTCCAGTATTACGCCTCCTTTTTGGGTTATATTTGTCAAATAACCATTTCATAACGGTTACATTTTATTCTTGTATGAAAGCATTTCACTTTTGATGAAGGTTTGGATTAGAAAGCTTTAGAAATCTGATATCCCTTAATGAGTACATATATTCGAGATTGATTTTGATTGTATTATATTTTTATGAACTTTTCACGGTGAATTTAATCTATGCTGGTCACAATCGTTGGTCGAAATATATTCTTTGTTGATCAACTGGGAGGAACTAAAGACAAGTATAGGAGGTCTAGCTAGGCCCCATATGTTGCTTTTCCTAAATATACAACTGTAATTATGATAATAGTAAGTCCATGCTGTGGAAGTGGTTTAAGTGAAGGGCGTAATGACTTGGTTTCATGTTGTGTTTGGCATTTTTGTGCATGGAATTCGCTGCATCATTTCATGTTGTCTTTTGACTTGTGCTTGGGAGATTCTTGGGTTGTATTTCTTATTCGTAAAAAATGAGGGTCATGTTTTCGGTGCGCCAAAGTTTTTGAGAGTAGATAGCATGTATCATGTCAAATGTTTGACTAGCAAATGGGATAAGTTTGAACAGGGAGGGAAGTGGAGGCTCAAAGATTACGAGCCTTGGAAAGGAACTTTAATATTAATTTTGGGTTGATTCTATTTACACAACCTTTTGGATTCATTACACCAATTATCACATTACACTAGTTTAAAAAATTTAAAATTTTAATTTTGTCTATTTACATTTCTTAATATGCTTTCCTTTCCTTGCACTCATCGTCTTTTGCCTCTCTTCTTCATTCATATTTTTTCTTCCTTTCACTATCTTTGGCTGCCATTGCAGCTATTTCT